TATCTATATGATATATATGATATTTCATATATCATGTGATATATGATCTATGGTATGATATATATATGACATGATATATGATTTTATATATGACATGATATATGGTGTGATATATGATATGATATATGATGTGATATATGATATTATATATGATATAATATATGACACAGTGGTATCATTAGTGTTCACATTGAGCCTTTTTGTCTTCTGGTGAGCCAAAACCATTGTTATTTAAGTCCCTTAGCCCATTAATCGTGCATATCTCTATCAAAGACACAACTTTAACATTATTAAATAAATAAAATATAACACAAAAATATTGGACAATTTTCAGTGTTACACTGTTGAATGCCAGAATAACTTCCAGAACATTGTAAACCATTATATTGTGGTGGTGGGTTTCAAGTTCAAGTTCTAGACCTGGTCTGTGTTCCTCCAGCACATGTGACTGAACAAGTACACCATGCTGTCCACTGAGTCCAACCACCATTAACTTAAATAAGTGAAGATATATAAGATATTTCAATAGTTATTGTTCTTTTAATGCATTTATTCCTTATAATTGATGATTTGCTTTTAAATATACCAGTAATGGGCAAAAATCCATGTAAAGACATATGTACAATAACAAAATACTTGAGAGGGCCAGATGTCACTAATTATCTCAAATGAAAAAATATAATTGTATTATTATGTCAATCCTATTTAGTTCATCAAAATCATGGAAAGGTTATTTAAGTCTTGTTTCTACATTTAATTTACAAGGAAGTTAACAAGTTCAGGAAACTGTCATAATTTGAGCTACTTCGTAATGTTTTAATGCAAATGACAAAACTGCAGCAATCACAATAGCTAGACTTTCTCCTCGTAGCAGACCAACTAAAAATGCAACAAGAGAATGTTCAGGTTATTTTTTATTAAAGTATGGCCTTGCAACTACATAAATAGGTAAGTGAGAAGACACTTGTTTTGGTTGAGTCTATTATTATTTGTTTATGGGGTGAGATGTCATACACAAATTTACAATTTATATTCATTTACTTTTTACAGAGATAATTATCATTTTAAATGCTTCTGGTGTTGTTTTATTAATTCATTTGTAATCAAAATTGTTATATATTCGATTAAAAGGGATAATTTTAATGAAATGAAATTAGTTCGACTCAGGCAGAGAAAAGGTTTGCTAACTTTAAGGTAAATTGCTTATCTTTATGTAGCAAGTATTAATTATATATTATATTTTCAGAAAAATAAACTGCCTGAGTAGTATATTGTAAAATGGCTGCCATTTATAGTATACTTATTTATAAAGGCTTTTTTACTTTATCTCTTCATTTTTGCTCAACGACTAAAAATAACAAGAAATACCGAACGACACAAACACTTAACAAATCTTATTAGTGTGCACCTTTATTTCCTTATATATTTTTCGTTTATTTTTTGTTCTGACTATTGGGTGCATTTCCACACATTTCCCGTGCACCAGCCTTGTCAATTTATAATTATAAGGCGCGTTCAACCATGAACGAACAAAATTCACACAATTTACGGAAATATTGTTAAAATTGGTGAAATAAAATTGAAGCTGATATTTTCGGATACGACTGAGATCCACATATCAGAAAAAACATAACATGGGTAGATTATTTACATAACTGTAGGATTTGTCAACGCTGGAGTACACCATTCAGAGATTGGTAACACAATTTATTTGTTTATATAATTCTCTAAATTCCTTCGCATTGTAAAAGTCGAAAATTATTTAAATTCAGTGTCTGTCTAAGACAAACATAAATGCATATTTCTTATGTACTAACTACATGTCTGTATCATTTATAGGTTGTGCAACCCATGGATATACACCAAAATACCATAAAAAGTTTACTCATTTAGTAAAGAGCAACTGGCAGCGTTGATAACCTTCCTCACCAACCCAAAATTAACTACAGCGGTATGTAACATCAATGCCTCGACGCTGCCAGGCTGTTATACACTTAAATGGGTGCATGGACATACACGGTATACATTATTTTGCAGCATTGACTTCCTACATGTACTCACATTTTTTCAGAAATACATCTTAAATTTGTATCTTGAATAAAAAGAAACAATCTGAACAAAAGCTGTCACAAAACGTGACAAATGTCCCCGAAGGATTCTAGTTATAAATCACCTATTACATGTTTAGTGTGGTGGTATAATTTGACAAAACCCAGCAGTGACCTTTAAGTTAGAAAAAGTAGCCTGGCTCTTGTTCACAACACATTGCCCGTCTATGGCGACTTAATGTTTTTTGATAAAAAAATTGAAACTTTAATGTATATGGAAGTTACAGAGCAAACACAACAACCGCCATTTATATATATATATATAAAACATAAATATTGAAAAGGCTTAAACTTCAGCAGTGACCTTAAAAGGTCCTTCTATCATTAATTTTCAAGATAATGAGCGGAATCCATTCTAACATTTATTGTCCCTGTGACCTTGACCTTTGACCCAGTGAGACGAAAATCAATATGGGTCATTTTCTTGTTAAGACCAATCAGTACATGAAATATGAAGTCTTCGTGATAAATAGTTATTAAGATAATTAGCAGAAACTATTCTGATATTTAAGGCCCTTGTGAGATTGACATTTGATCTAATGACCCGAAAATCAGTAGGGATCATTTTCTAGTTATGATTAATCAGTACCTGAAATTTAAAGACTTTGTGATACATAGTTTTCAAGATTATCAGCGAAAATCATTCGGACAATTACGGTCCTTGTGACTTTGACCTTTGACCTAGTGACCCGAACATCGATAGAGGTCATCTACTTGTTATGACCAATCAGTATATGAAATTTAAGACTTTGTAATAAATATCTTTTTAAGAAAATCAGCGGAAACCATGTGGTCTACCAAAGGATATACCGACAGTCAGAATCAACAGTGATCTAACTTAGAGCTCAATCTCCCTGTCAAATGTGAGGGTACTAAGCCAGTGCATTGCTAAGTTATGTATTCTACATGTTTTAGTGGCAAAGATCAAAGCGATCTTTACCTTTGACATACTGACCTCAAAACTAAAACTGCCACTGCATGACTTTAATACTTCCCAACCTCATTCATGCAGCTTTGTGTGGGGTGTTTTATGATAAATATATGAGAACTTAAATTATGCTTCAAATGTGAAATGTCAAAATCAATACACTGTGGACAGGCATTTTTAAGCATTTGAGCAGACAAGCTTATCATCTTATCTTAGTTAAAGCGCCTGCGACCCTGTGACACCTAAATTAAAAGGGGTCATCTACTAGTCATAACCAACCTCAAAACCAAATATGAAGACTGTTGACCAAAGCATTCCTAAGCAAATGAGCAGAAAATCTTTCTAAACTAAAGGACCCTGTGACCTTTGACCAATGGCTTCAAAATCAATAGGCGTCAATAAACAGTCATCATTAACCTTCATACAAAATATGAACACTGTGGGTCAAAGGATTCTTAAGATGTTGGGCGGACAAGTTTTGTTTAGTCAAGGCCCTTCTGACCTTGACCTTTGACCTGGTGACCTCAAAATCAATAGGAGTCATCTATTCATGACCGATCTTTATACCAAATATGAGGAATGTTGGTTTTAGAAATCTTAAGTAATTTGGCGGACAGTGAAAAATCGACGGACGCCCGACGGCTGAATTGCCGGACAGCGAGACCGACGGCCGGACGGACAAGCTGATTCCAGTATACTCCCTTACAATTTGTTGTTCGGGGGTATAATTATATCTATAATTGTTGAACTTCTCATAATATCATGCTATCAGGATTTTATCGGCCACTGATTGGCCTAGACAGTTTTTTTTAATTCATGCGGAAACTTCTCTCCTTAGCGGCAATATTAAATGGCAAACAGTGAAGTTTGTATGAGCCATTGGCAATATTTCACATGTCAATAAAGACTCTTTAATGGGTTATGAACCAAGATAAGTGATGAGTTTAACATATTCATGATAAAAAAAAATCTAAATTAAAATGTTAATTCTGTTTTTTTTTTGGTAAACAGCCATAGTCAAGTTGAATTTAATGTACAATACTTGGATACGAATTTGGCTGAGGTATGATTGTGTATAGTTTGGCAAACCAGGACAATTTGAACAATTCAAGTAAATGATCACTATGGATCATTTTTATAGAATTTTAATAAAATCTATCGAGCCACTATGGAGATGCCATGTAAAGCTAATTTTTATTTTATTAGCTTTGGTTGCCATCTTGTTCAACATACTGGAACAATTTTTTGTAAGCATTTTTTTTAGTAAAAGGACTACCGGTACCTAATGATAATTCTGTGCAGTTTTAAAGAATTCTACCACATGATTGAGGAGAAAATGTTGTTCAAAAAGTATTTCTATTTTTAGCTCTGAAGGACATCTTGTTAACAGAATGGAACCATTAAAAATTTCAAGGACCACCAAAGACCATTCCTGTTTTGTGTCAAAATCTACAAAGTGGTAAAGGAGAATGTAGTTTAAAAATTTAATTTAAAGTTTTAATTTTTTGTAAAGCTCCAACAAGCATCTTCAACAGACTTACAATAATCGAGCAAGGACTTTTCAATAATCATTGCTGCAAAGTTTTATTAAAATATAAGTAAAGTTGAAGAGAAAATGTTGTTTTTCAGCTTATTTCTATTTGTCAGCTTTTGTGGCCATCTTATTCAGTGGACCGGAGCAATTTGGGCATTTTTATAGGGGACCAACAAATGACGATTTCTGCATAGTTTCATCTTTCCAGGTAAATCAAGAGGTTAAGAAGATATTGTTCTTTAAGTAAAAATTGTAACGTCAGATGACGGACACAGGGGTATTACAATAGCTCACCTTATGCTTGTTGTTCTCTGGTGAGCTAAATAACTTTAAATTTGAAAATCTTTAAGTCAATTAAATGTACTTAATTCTATTAAAAACGCTACTTTTGATACAAATATTAGAATTTATTGAACAGATAAAATATTACCTGGGCAGTTTTGAGTGTTACACTGTTGAATGCCAGAACCACTTCCAGAACATTGTGCACCACCATTTTGTGGTGCAGGGTTTGTACAAGTTCTAGACCTGGTCTGCGTTCCTCCACCACATGTGACTGAACAATAACCCCATGTTGACCATAGTGCCCATCCACCATGAACTTTAATAAATAAGGATTAAAAAGTTAATTCAATAGTTATTGTTCTCTGGCCTCAGAAATGATATTTTCTTTCTTTTGAAAATGCAAACATGAGTTTATAATGTTGGAATAATGGTTTAAAAGCATTTTAGGTGATGGTCACCTGAAGAAAGTAGCGCTAAATGTAAAATTATTTGTAGCAATAGAAGCAAATGTAAACAAGTAGTATTTTGGCTTCCATTCAAAATGCCAAATTTCCATATTTTTACAAAATCCCAAGCAACAGAAGCAAAATGAAGTTTCAAATATTGGCTAATAAGTAACTTTTTTGGAAAACTATAACTGGACGCAAAACAAAAGGGTCATGATGGCCCTTATATCGCTAATCTGAAAAAATGCTCTCTATTACAAGGGACACTGCGAAAAATACATGGATATACGGAAGTGGACGGATTTTTGTATATCATTAATATACGGGTAAGAATACGGATCCTTGAAATACTGAGATATACAGGACCGTATTTTATGACTAGTTTACGGTAATCCGTACACTCGTTATATACGGGAACTTTGATGTACGAATTCAGTATTTTACTAATATACGGAATTTTTATATTAAGCAGATTTACTTCTGAATTTGTAACGTGCACGGGCTAGCTGTTATATATATAATTTTTCTTATGGCTACTTTGCCAGTTGATTGGTTACAAATGATTATACAATAATTTGTTCAAACTTTGGAATCAAGTTTAATTAACTAATGTTATAACAGTAACGTGCTTGAAAGGTAATAAGTGGTCCTTGAACTTGATATAAAATTGGGGGACACTTTTAAGGCTATTTAATATATATAGAAAAACCACTTGGATATCGAGTTTTCAATACTTTAGTAATAACAATTACACCTAACGCAATGTTAAATTGATGCAATTGAAATACTTCGTAAATAGTGCAAGAACCCAAGTAATTAGACTAAAATATTAATTAATTATTTCTGTGGTGTTGACACTTCGGCAGCTGGACAGAGACTGATCGTCCACAGCTTTGAGCTCTATTTATACCCAATAACGTAGTTGTATTTAATAATCGTTTACTGAAGTTGAAGAAATCAAGCATCCAAGAGATATTGATAATGGTTCGAATATTGGTACGAATGGCATTGAGTTCGAATGATTTTAAGTACGAATTGTTCTGATATTTTACTAATAACAAAAATATGCCCGTTATATCAAATAATTGCTTCAGATTAGTTGTTAAATCTAATCATTTAATTTTTAAGTATTTATTACTTATTTATAAAAGATCAAACTATACATTTAAACACAAGATTACATATTTGTTAACAATTTTACTTTTCGGCAATTAGGTATAAAAACCACTAAATATCATAAAAGAATCTAGGCAGAATAGAACAATCGTCACAAATTGCCTATTTCCTATAAGAGGGAAAAATAGTCTGATCTAACATTTGTCAGACATTTAACAAAATAACATAAAACAAAAAAAAGCTTTAATTCAATGTAATACGTCAATTGCATACTGATACTATGGTCAGTGCACAAAACGTGCAAAACATCCATACATCCACAATGTCTGTAGCATGCAGACAAAAAGAAACGACAATGTATATTGAGTTATCTGTTTATATATACAAGCAACGTGGTATTCTAGCTCATACCGCTTTGTTTGCTTTTTATCCCATATTCCATCTGTTTTACACCCGCAGACATGTATTTACAAATACAATTTTAGCACACTTCGTGTCTTTATTACTCAATTGTTCAAGGTGAATTCCATAATAGATTTGGCTATACAGCAAAGTGACGACTAGATAGTACTTTTTTGTATTCTGCGTTTAGGGTGAATAACGTTATTTTGTAATTTCTTTGTCATTATCATAATGATATTTTAAAATGAAAAGCCAAAAGAGAAAACGTTGAAATCATGATGTCCCAAACATGAATTAATTAAATTAAAATCGTGAATCTGTAAAGTTGAAATCGTGAAAGTTAAATATGTGCAATCAAGAGGATGAAACCGGGAATTCGCGAGCGTGAAGTTGAATTTTCCCACCGGTCTTTCGTAAATGTTCCCAACGGCCTTTCGTATTATTTGTTTTGTAATTCGTGATCTCTGGATTATAGAAATGCTGTTATAGTTATTTAAATGTCAAAACAGTATATAATATTATTTGTGTTTATATTTATTTATTTTTTATTTATTTATTTAATCATTCTTTTAATAATTTATTTCAGGACACATAAAGGTTTGCCTTTTTGTACACATTAACTGCATTAGCTTGGAATATAAATCCTATGAAGTTCCGAATTCCCCAATCTTGATTCTTTTCGCGCTGTCTCATTTATGAAATAGTATTATGTAACAGCCACGTGCTGTATTGCGATAATCGAAGCCAACACAAATTAAGGCCAGATATGGATCATAAACGCAGTAGGGTATAACGAGTGTCGGTTTTCTCCGATGACGTAAGTTTGCGCAATTTTGTTGATTTCTAATATAATTCATGCAAGAATTAAAGGTCTCATAACTGGGTCTACATGTAAAGAAGTTAAAAACTAAAATTCTGACGTCAATATTTGTATGATTAACCTGCGTCTTTTTGTTCCAGCTAGAAAGACTCTAAACTGACATAATAATGAAACAAACATAACCGTCGTATTCTTTCCAATATTTTTGCAGCGTCGTTTTGTTATTATTTTTTATCTGGCGGAATTCGTCATTTAAAACAAAAGACAAGTAAATTCTGTCTTAAAATAAAGTTTGAAGTGCCGCAAGGTCCAATTACAGTTGAGTTCACACTAAACTTCCCACCCTTGTGCACTTCTAGTGCACTAGAGCTGAACTAGAAGTGCACTAGAAGTGCACTTCTAGTGCACTAGACCATATGACCAGGCTGGCCAGGGAAGGTGACACCTAAATGGTTTATTGGATAATTGTATATCAAGTGGGGGGGGGGGGCATCCATTGTTACGCTGCTTTATGAAGAAAAAAAATTGGGAAAATATATATATGGCCTATTCATGAATATAAATAAGTAAATTTTAAAATCAGCAGTTTTAACATTTTAGGTGATTATCATGTTGAAGCTTAAAATTAAAATGTTTTTTTCATTTATTGTAATCATATTTTTATTAACCAGTATTTAACTGTAGGTGAAAAATAATACCCCTTGAAATCAAATTTATAGAATTAATAAGGTTAAATTTAAATATGCTCCGTAATGGATAATTAGATAAGTGTTTTTAAAGCTTTTTTAAATGGCCATATATTTCAATTTTTCTAGTGTACAAATGGTATAAATCAATGTGATAATTCTGGCCCAATTAATTTAGTTTGTTACATCATAACTTTTTTTTCATAAGCTCAAACAAATCAAGGAAAGGTTATATTTAAGCTAAAATATTATTTCTATAATACATAACTTAGAGACAATTCAACATGTTCAATATTGAAAGAGAATATTAATACATTGATTTTAAAACAATCAATATACTGTGATAATTTAGTATTCAACTGTGTAATGCTTGCATATGTTTATGCAAATAATTTAAATATTATCCATAAAATAAATAAATTTGATATCTTTATTCATTATTTCAATATCAAAAATTTAATGTATAAAGGGAATACTTTTATTGAAGAGGAAAATCTCAAGTCATGCTGTGTATTGGTATTTTCTGAGAGGGACTGTTTTCAATATACCACTCTCCTGCTGATAAGAGGGCCTCAGGGTAAATAACAAAGAACAGTCAATTTTTTGCAGATTTATAAGAATGCATTGAAATTCCTGGTTTTCTCAAAATGCATGTTAGACATAAGCCTGGGATTCATCAGTCGTTGGCACTCAGTAAATGACCATAATTTTTGTATAATCAAATATACAAAAAAAACCATAAAGGCATAAATGCATAATAGATATTATCAGAGACATAGATAGATGTTATCTATGTCTCTGATAATATTGTATCTAAAGCGGAATTTTCTATATGTATCCATTTATCCACATTTCTTGCCATTCTGCATAATAATATCACGGATTTATATTACTATATACTATTAATATAAATCCGTGATAATATATAACTTAAGAGGCAATTCCTCATGTTCAAGATTGAAAGAGAGTATTAATTCATTGATTTTAAAACATTTTATACACTGTGATATTATGTTTTTCAACCATAAAATGCTTGCATACTTTTTAAAGATATACATAATTAAAAATTTTCCATAAAATAAATAAAATTGATAACTTTATTCAATATTTCTACATTAAAAATGTAATGTATGAAGGGAATGTTTTTATACAAGAGGAAAGTCTCGAGTCATGCTGTGTATTGGTATTTTTTTGAGAGCGACTGTTTTCATTACACTGGTCTCCTGCTGATAAGAGGGCCTCAGGGTAAATAACAAAAATGCAAATGTATGCAAAATTATTGAAAATTTCCCTTTTCCCCAAAAATACATGTAAGTCATCGATAAATGACTATACTTTGTGTATAATCAAATGTAAAAAATAATCTTAATGTCATAAACGCACGTTAGATATTATTGTCTTTGAAGTGGAATTTTCTAATCTTATTATAAAAAACTGGTTTAAAACCAATATCAGTGTTAACTATTCTACAAAGACTTCGTATCAATATTTTTTCACATTTCTTGCAATTCTGCATTAAAATTTGCAGCATCTTTTAGTTTTTGAACTGGGAAATGTTATTTTTTTTCTATTATAGATTTTGACAAATTTGCCCTTGTCAGTTTTTACGCATTTAGAAGATAATATATTTTAAAGAAAATATTATTTAAATACATGATTATAAAACTTTTGCAACTTCCTTTTCACTTTAATGCAGATCTGTTTTTTTTTTTTTTTTTTAAATTTAATATCATACATGAGCAGAAAACAGTTACAGGAGATTAAAGTGTCAAAAGTCATGCTGTGTATAGGTGTTTTTGATATAGTACCCTGCTGATAAGAGAGCCCCTCAGGGTAAATAACATAAGCCAGATTAGGCGATGTAAATTCTGTATTCTCTGGATGTTGGTGCAAATAAATTCATTACAAATAGTACAAAAAGAAAAATGAATATTTTTGCAATTTATAATAAAACTCATAAAATTAATCATATTGCATAATAATGTTACAATGCATGAAAAAAAAGGAAAAAAAAGAGTTGGTGTCGTCTCAAGAAATGGAATTGACAGATTTTCTAATCTTTTTGTTAATATCCATGTCAGTTTAAGTATACTAGTATCCCACAGGTACATATCAATACTTAATCCACACATATCAATACATACCACCATTATATATAAATATTTATTTTCAGAATAATATATATCATTTATATTAATCTTAGGTAAATCTCAGTTTGAGAAGGTAAGAGAGATTATAAATGAAATAAAATTGACAAAATTTAGGCCAATTATAAACATATTAATTCTTTAATGTATTAAAGACTATTATGCTTAAAATCATTACCATAACTAAAACAACCATAAGTTCAGATCAAAAATAACTAATACTACGGTATAATTCCCCCTCCCCCCAAAAAAGAACTGACTTAATTTTGTTTGATTAGCATTTCAATGTTTCATATTTCATTACTAGATTATAATAAAATAGAATCATATTAAATATCAATTAAGTTTGTTTATTTATGCACTTATCAACATTAAAGTTATAATTATGTATATTTAAATTACTTATTCTAACAATTAAATTTTAAAGTACAAAATCAGTAAAATTAATGACTTTGAAATTTATTGTTCTAATATTTTACGCCATATTTTACAAAATCCAATAATCACAATTTCAAACTTTTATTAAAAAACTATTAAACAGATATCTATATTTTCTATCTTTTTGTAAAAGTCAAATTGCTATTCAGTAAAATAAAAGGTAACTGCTTAATACATATAATAGGTCTGGTGCACTTCAAAGTGCACTTATGAAGTGCACTAGTAGTGCACTACTAGTGCACTTTGTAGTGCACATCTAGTGCACTCCTAGTGCACTTTGTGTAACCTTTAGTGTGAACTCAACTGTATGTCTCTCAAAACTTGAAAGTTAATTGGATGTCACTGCGATGTATGTACATGTATTGTCGATAGATGATGTCTAATTATTCGAAATAGCATTTCTTTGAAACTATCCTCATCATCTCCCATCAATCGTGTTTCTGCATAATTCGATGAGTTGAACAGTGTGACAGATATCTTGGAAACAGTTTTGGTGTCGCAGGTTTTTTTTTTAAATTAAGAACATTATAAATTATATATTGATAGTAAAATCACTTTTGAAATTGGACTTTTGAATAACCACAGATAATCAAAATATTCTTAAACTGATCAAGTTTTATTTCAGTTATGAAGTCCGCAGATGATGTGAAGGGACCTTCAAATTTTAAATTTGTGTATCAACATGTGTCATTGGGTGAGGAAAATGTGCAGCCTGACCGAAACTCGAACCCGGGACTCACATAATACTGGCTATCCGGCCGCTTACACATCTTCACCCCTAATTATTGAACAGTTCTGAACCGTGACATACTGCCCTGCTATCTTGAAATTTACAGAGTTACAGACAAATGCTAATTAAACGCTATATGGTATAAGAGTTATCCAGACTCATATATTCCCCTCCGTATTGGAAACATTTGTTTTATTCTTTTTCAAGTCAAAGTCAAGTTTCATTTATTATACGTTTTAA